ACTCTCGTGGCTTCTTCTCGGTGGTCTTGCAGCTCTTCTGAGGTCTGAGGTGGAGTCTCCCTTGGCCTGGAGAGCCCAGTTGAGGGGGTTCAGTCCATCTTGGAGGAGGTGGGCTGCACAGATTCTTTTTGCACGGTCTGCCAAGGCTTTAATGGTGCTCCTTTTTTTACTTGGGTGATGGTTGGAGTTTTGGTGTAGATCGCTATCTGTGTGTGTGGGTTTTCTGTAAACGGTGTGACCCAATTATGGATCTGGTTTGCGGATGACTCGGACATCTAGACAAGGCAGTCTTCCTTCATTCTCTTTTTCCGTGGTGAATTGGAAGTTTGGGTGGATGCTGTTGAGAAGTTCCAAGAACCTGTTGAGTTCTTCTTCTCCATGGCTCCCAAGGGTGAAGGTGTCATCCACATCTCCGAACCATATGTTTGGGTGGATGCTGTTGAGATGGTCCAGGAACCTGTTGAGTTCTTCTTCTCCATGGCTCCCAAGGGTGAAGGTGTCATCCACATCTCCGAACCATATGTTTGGGTGGATGCTGTTGAGATGGTCCAGGAACCAGTTGAGTTCTTCTTCTCCATGGCTCCAAAGGCTGAAGGTGTCATCCACATCTCCGAACCATATGTTTGGGTGGATGCTGTTGAGATGGTCCAGGAACCCGTTGAGTCCTTCTTCTCCATGGCTCCAAAGGGTGAAGGTGTCATCCACATCTCTGAACCATATGTTTGGGTGGATGCTGTTGAGATGGTCCAGGAACCTGTTGAGTTCTTCTTCTCCATGGCTCCCAAGGGTGAAGGTGTCATCCACATCTCTGAACCATATGTTTGGGTGGATGCTGTTGAGATGGTCCAGGAACCTGTTGAGCTCTTCTTCTCCATGGCTCCAAAGGATGAAGGTGTCATCCACATCTCTGAACCATATGTTTGGCTGGATGCTGTTAAGATGTTCCAGGAACCTGTTGAGTTCTTCTTCTCCATGTTCTTGCCAGACATCAAGGGAACCACTGACCGCACAGGGAAGAAGCTGAGGAGGAAACACAACATACAAACTATCTCCAGACCCACCAAGAAAATCCAACCAATGCTCCGTTCAGCAAAGGACAAGAGGGACCCTCTCACTTCTTCAGGAGTCTCCCTTAGACCATGCAGTCTGGAGACCCGTTTGGGGGTCTCCAGAGGGACCCCCAAACAGAGCAGCATTTCCCAAACACGAATCAAGGAACATGAAAGGCACTGCAGACTCCTTCAACCAGAGAAGTCAGCCAGAGCAGAGCACCTGAGGAACCAACCTGGGCACAGCATCTTATTGGAGAACACAGAAATGCTGGACCACACCAACAACCACCACGTCAGACTACACAGAGATGCCATTGAAACCCACAAGAAGCAGGTGGACAATTTCAACAGAAAGGAGGAAACCATGAAAATGAACAAAATCTGGCTACCAGTATTTAAAAACTCTCAAGTTGCAGCGGCACAACAACAGAGAGGAAACAAATCAGGCACATCTAATCACCTCTCAACAAAAGATTGCTCCAGGCACTGTCAGGCCATCAAATGCTAATCGAGGTGGTCAGTTGAAACATTCACCCCTAGCTCCAGCAGACAAGAGTCCTTTGTCCCACCCTGCTCATTCCACAGATATATAAACCCTTTTTCCTACTTCCAGCAGACCTCACTACCTCTGAGGATGCTTGCCATAGATGCAGGCGAAACGTCAGGAGAGAATGCCTCTAGACCATGGCCATATAGCCCGAAGAAACCTACAACCACCCAATTTTTCAATCTGCTCTCCTTAATGTTTTCCTTCTGAATTTACTGCCGAAAAGGGGCTGACCTTTCGGCTAATGAGCGGATGCCATTAAGAGGCAGGGTCTGCCTTGCTTCCATCCATCACTGCAAAATGCCGCCTGGCCTTAAATTTTTTATTCTTGCCCTTCCAACCAGAGAAATAACTCTCGCTTGTAATTAGCCAAACTTACATATCCAATTAATAAAGGCATTAAGGGCTTAATGAATATGGCCCTGCGCAGCTGACAACAATCGGAAACAATTAAAAACTTCTCTTTCTTCCCTTAGATCGTCCGTCCTTGCATCCTTCTCTCTTCCTTCCTTTCAGTCTTCATTCTTTTCTTCCTTCCTCGCATCTTTCTATCCTTTCTTTCGAGCTTCTATCCCTTCCTTCTATCTTCCAGCTTTTCTTCCTTCCATCCATCTTTCAGTCATTCCCTCCAACTAGCCTTCATTTAATCTTACCTTCCCTGCATCTTCTTTCCTTCCTTCCTTCCTTGCTTCCTTCCTTCCTTCCTTCCTTCCTTCCTTCCTTCCTTCCTTCCTTCCTTCCTTCCTTCCTTCCTTCCTTCCTTCTATCACCATTCCTTCAATCCATTCTTCCTTCAGTCTTACCTTCCCTGCATTCTTCTGTCCTCCTACCTTCCATCCTTCTATTGTCTTTGTCAATCTTCCTTCCTTTATTCCTTCCATCCATTCTTCTTTCAGTCTTCCCTTCCCCGCATCCTTCCATCTTTCCATTTTTTCTTCCTTCCTTCCTTTCCATTCTTCTTTCTTCTCTCTTCCTTCTTCCTTCCTTCCTTCCTTCTCTTCCTTCCTTCCTTCCTTCCTTTCCTTCCTTCTTTCCATCCTTCATTTCCTTCCTTCCATCCATCCTTCATTTCCTTCCCTCCCTCGTTCCTTTCACCCTTCCTTCCTTCCTTCCTTCCTTCCTTCCTTCCTCCTTCCTTCCATCCATCCATCCATCCATCCATCCATTCCTCTGTCTTCCTTCATCATTCTATCTTCCTTCTGTCTTCCATCCCTCCATCCAATTTCCTTTCAGTATTTCTTTCCCTGCATCCTTTTATCCTCCTTCCTTCCTTCAATCTTCCCTCCCTTCTCCTTCCTTCCTCCCACCCTTCTATATTTCTTCCTTTCAGTCTTCCATCTTTTCTTCTATCCCTCCCTCCCTCCTTCCTTCCTTCCTTTCTTCCTTTTCCTTCCTTCCTTCCTTCCTTCCTTCCTTCCTTCCTTCCTTCCTTCCTTCCATCCACCCACCCATCCCTTCCTTCCATCTTTCCTGCCTTCCTTCTGTCCTTCCTTCCTTCCTTTTTTCCTTTTCTTCCTTCCTTCTGTCCTTCCTTCCTATTTTCCATCTTTCCTTTCATCTTTTTCTTCCTTCCTTTCTTCCTTCTCTCTCCTTCCTTCTTTCTTTTTCCTTCTTTCTTTTTCCTTCCTTCCTTCCTTTCTTCCTTCTCTCTCCTTCCTTCTTTCTTTTTCCTTCTTTCTTTTTCCTTCCTTCCTTCCTTCCTTCCTTCCTTCCTTCCTTCCTTCCTTCCTTCCTTCCTTCTTCCTATAGAGTTGGAAGAGACCTCATGAGCCATCCAGTCCAACCCCCTGCCAAGAAGCAGGAATATTGCATTCAAATCACCCCTGACAGATGGCCATCCAGCCTCTGTTTAAAAGCTTCCAAAGAAGGAGCCTCCACCACACTCCGGGGCAGAGAGTTCCACTGCTGAACGGCTCTCACAGTCAGGAAGTTCTTCTTCATGTTCAGGTGGAATCTCCTCTCTTGTAGTTTGAAGCCATTCCTCCATTGCGTCCTAGTCTCCAGGGAAGCAGAAAGGAAGCTTGCTCCCTCCTCCTCCCTGTGGCTTCCTCTCACATATTTAGACATGGCTATCATATCCCCTCTCAGCCTTCTCTTCTTCAGGCTAAACATGCCCAGCTCCTTAAGCCGCTCCTCATAGGGCTTGTTCTCCAGACCCTTGATCATTTTAGTCGCCCTCCTCTGGACACATTCCAGCTTGTCATATCTCTCTTCAATTGTGGTGCCCAGAATTGGACACAATATTCCAGGTAAAGTGGTCTAGCCAAAGTGGAATAGAGGGGTAGCATTACTTCCCTAGATCTAGACACTAGGCTCCTATTGATGCAGGACAAAATCCCATTGGCTTTTTTTGCCGCCATATCACATTCCTGGTTCATGTTTACCTTGTTGTCCACAAGGAATCCAAGATCTTTTTCACACTTACTGCTCTCAAGCCAGGCATTGTCCCCCATTTTGTCTCTTTGCATTTCGTTTTTCCTGCCTAAGTGGAGTCTCTTGCATTTGTCCCTGTTGAACTTCATTTTGTGAGTTTTGGCCCATCATCTCTCTCATCTGTCAAGATCCCTTTGAATCCTGCTCCTGTCCTCTGCAGTTTTGGCTCTCCCTCCCAATTTGGTGTCGTCTGCAAACTTGATGATCATGCCTTCTCACCCTTCATCTCAGTCATGAATGAAGATCCTGAGCAGGACCGGGCCCAGGACGGAAGCCTGCGGATGGCACTCCACTCGTCACTTTTTTCCAGGATGAAGAGGAAGCATTGGTGAGCACCCTCTGGGTTCATCCATTTAACCAATTCCAGATCCACCTCACCGTAGTTTTGCCTAGCCCACATTCCTTCCCTCCATCCTTCCCAGTCACACTCTTTTGGCCTCAGAGGAAGGCAGTTGAATCAAGACCCTGGAGACCTGGAAGATAGAAGGAAGGAAGGAAGGAAGGAAGGAAGGAAGGAAGGAAGGAAGGAAGGAAGGAAGGAAGGAAGGAAGGAAGGAAGGGGGTGAGTCACACTCTCTCAGCCAAAGGGGAGGAGCCCCCGGTGGCGCAGTGGGTTCAACCCCTGTGCAGGCAGGACTGAAGACCGACAGGTCGCAGGTTCGAATCCGGGGAGAGGTGGATGAGCTCCCTCTATCAGCTCCAGCTCCTCATGCGGGGACATGAGAGAAGCCTCCCACAAGGATGATAAAATCATCCAGGCAACGTCCTTGCAGACGGCCAATTCTCTCACACCAGAAGCGACTTGCTCCTGACACGACAAAAAAAAAGAGCCAAGGGGGAGGGAAGGCACCGCCTTGCCTTGCCAGCCTGGACAGGCCGGGATGGCCGGCTGCCCAGGCCGGATCAGCTTCCCTCCTCCGGTGCCACCTGGGCCTTTGGAGCTGCCTGCCCGCCCGCCCACCCTTCACCTGGCATTCCGCCGCCTCCTGCTTCCACCTGCCCAGGTGAGGCGTTTCCTCTCCGCCCAAAGCCTCCGCTCGAGAGCCAGAAGCCGCAGGTATCCTCCGCTGGGTTGTATAAGAGGCCTCCTCCTCCCTCCTCTCTCGGCCTGGGATGCTCCTTTGGGGGAAAGGTGGGGGCGGTCCCAAGGGCCAGGTGTCAGGGCCGGGCAGGTGGAGGGCCGTGGGCCAGGGTTGGGGTGCCCCCTGAGTGCTAGTGCCAGCCCCAGAGGGAGCGCATGACTCTGACTCAGAGTGGGCTTCCTGAATGCACACAGCCGCCACAGGCAGCAGGGCTTGCCTGCCCCATTTCGACACTTCCAGGGAGACAAAGTTCATCAGAAGCAGAAAGGGATTCGCAGATTTGGGCCTCGGTCGGTCGGTCGGAGGAGAAGGAGGGAAGGGAGCAAAGGAAGGATGGGAGGAAGGAGCGGAGGGAAGAAGGAGAGGAGCTGGAAGAGGAGGCTCGCCCTCCGGAACAAGCTGGCCAAGGAGGCCCTGGCCGAGTTCCTGGCCACCCTCATCATGATCGTAAGTGCCCTTCTCACCCCCGTCCATCCATCTCTCCTTCCTTCTTTCTTTACCTCCCTCTTTCTCTCCTCCCTTCCCTCCTTCCTTTGCTTCCTCTTTCCTTCCTTCCCTATTTTTCTTTCTCTCCTTTCCTTCTTTACCTCTTTCCTTCCTTCCCTCTTTTCTTTTCCTTCCTCTTTCTCTCCTTTCCTTCCCTTCCTTCCTTCCTTCCTTCCTTCCTTCCTTCCTTCCTTCCTTCCTTCTCCCTCCCTATCTTCCTCCTTCATTTCCTTCCTTTCTTCCTCCCTTTCTTCCTTTTCTCTCTTTTCTCCTTCCTTCCTTCCTTCCTTCCTTCCTTCCTTCCTTCCTTCCTTCCTTCCTTCCTTCTTCCTTCCTTCCTTCTCCCTCCCTATCTTCCTCCTTCATTTCCTTCCTTTCTTCCTCCCTTTCTTCCTTTTCTCTCCTCTCTCCTTCCTTCCTTCCCCTTTCTCTCTCTCTCCTCTCTCTCTCTCTTCTTTCCTTCTTTCCTCTCTCCCTCCTTTCATCTTTGCCTCCTTCCTTCTATCCTCCCTTCCTTCATTCCCTCTATCTCCCTCCTTTCAAGACTTCCTAATTTTCTTCATTTTCTCCCCTCTTCCTTCCTTCTTTCCTTCCTTCCTTCCTTCCTTCCTTCCTTCCTTCCTTCCATCCATCCATCCCTTCCTCCTCCTCTTCTTTCTCCCTTCCTCCCTTTCTTTCCTTCCTTCCTTCTTCACTTCCTTCCCCTTTCCTTCCTTCCTTTCCTCCCTCTCTCCTTTCCTTTTCCTTCCCTTCCTTCTCTCCCTTCTCCTTCCTTCCTTCCACCTTCTCTTTTCCTTCCTTCCTTCCTTTCTTTCCACCCTCTCTCCTTTCCTTTTCCTTCCCTTCCTTCTTTCTTCCTCCCTTCCTTCCTTCCTTCCTTCCTTCCTTCCTTTCCTCCCTCTTTTCCTTTTCTTTCCTTTCTTTTCCTCCCTTCCTCCTTTCTCTTCCTCCTCCTTCCTTCCTTTCTCCCTCTTTCCTTTTCCTTTTCCTTTCCTTCCTTCCTCCTTCCTTCCTTCTCCTCCTTCCTTCCTTCCTTCTCCTTCTTCCTTCCTTCTTTCTTTCTACTTTCCTTCCTTCCTTCCTTCTTTATTTCCTCACAGGAGCACCGTATGGTGCTGTAAAGCATTTGGAAAAGTCTGGGAAACTCTGGGTCATAGGTTTTTTCGGGCTTGAGGGCCTGGCAGTGCCTGGGGCAATCATTTGTTGAGAGGTGATTAGATGTCCTTGTTTGCCCCACAAACAAACAGATTTAATGTATTGTCGAAGGCTTTCATGGCCGGACTCACTGGGTTGTTGTAGGTTTTTTCGGGCTATATGGCCATGTTCTAGAGGCATTTCTCCTGACGTTTCGCCTGCATCTATGGCAAGCATCCTCAGAGGTAGTGAGGTCTGTTGGAACTAGGAAAAGGGTTTATATATCTGTGGAATGACCAGGGTGGGACAAAGAACTCTTGTCTGCTGGAGCTAGGTGTGAATGTTTCAACTGACCACCTTGATTAGCATTGGATGGCCTGGCAGTGCCTGGAGCAATCTTTTGTTGAGAGGTGATTAGAATTGCCTGATTGTTTCCTCTCTGTTGTTGTGCTGTTGTAATTTTAGAGTTTGTTTGTTTCCTCTCTGAACAAAATCTGGCTACCAGTATTTAAAAAAACCTCTAAAATTAGAACAGGACAACAACAGAGAGGAAACAATCAGGAACATCTAATCACCTCTCAACAAAAGCTTGCTCCAGGCACTGTCAGGCCATTATATGTTAATCAAGGTGGTCAGTTGAAACATTCACACCTTGCTCCAACAGACAAGAGTCCTTTGTCCCACCTTGGCATTTGATGGCAGTGCCTGGGGCAATCTTTTGTTGAGAGGTGATTAGATGTCACTGATTGTTTCCTCTCTGTTGTTTTGCTCTTGTAATTTTAGAGTTTTTTTAATACTGGGAAACTCTCTTTTCTCCAAATTGCAATTTGGTGGCAGTATATTCTACGAGTCCCAGCCCCCCAAAGAGGAACACTTTTTCCATGCGCTTATGCAATCGTGTATTTGCCTGCCTTTTCCTGCAAATCATGGCAAAGGATGGAAGCGTTTTGGCAGGGAACCAAAGTCTCTCCTCTTTCTGGCTAACCCTAAAGCAGGCCTGGGCCAACTTTGGCCCTTCAGTTGTCTTGAACTTGAAGTCCCAGATGGTGGGCTGTTAGGAATGATGGGAGTTAGAGTTCTAAACAACTGGAGGGCCAAAGTTGGCACAGGCCTGTGAGAAAGGAATATTTGGTAAATGACTGGAAAGAGGAAGATAGGCTTCCTTTTGACCCCTTTTTCTGCTTGACGCCAACTGCACACAAAGCAATTTCCTGTAGGACGTGAACTGCAGGAATGGGAGGAAGCGGGAAGAGAAACCGGGCCGCTGTAAAAGCAATGGGAAAAGTGAGCTTGTCACTCACAAGCCAAACCAGCCAGAAGAGGGCTATAGGAACTCTCCGTCACCTGCGCCCAGGGGCGGCTCGTCCATTACGCGAAGTAAGCGGCCGCGGTACACTTTTTTTGCCAGGGGTGAAGAGGCACCTCTGTAAATGCCCCTCGAACGCCACTTGAGGAGCGCCCCCTCAGCTCATATTACTCACTTTCGTGTAGATCAGCGTTTCTCAACCTGGGGGTCGGGACCCCTGGGGGAGTCGTGAGGGGGCATCAGAGGGGTCGCCAAAGACCACCAGAAAACACGGTATTTTCTGTTGGTCATGGGGGTTCTGTGTGCCCAATTCTATTGTTAGTGGAGTTCAGAATACTCTTTGATTGTAGGTGAACTATAAATCCCGGTAACTACAACTCCCAAAGGTCAAGGTCTATTTTCGCCAAACTTCAATAGTGTTCACATTTGGGCATATTGGGTATTCGTGCCAAGTTTGGTCCAGATCTATCATTGTTTGAATCCACGGTGATCTCTGGACAGGGGCGGCTCAACCATTACGCAAAGTAAGCCTTTGCAGTAGAGTTGAGTTTGCCCAGGGGCGCTCTTGAGGCGCTCTTGGGGGAAAATAGACCTTGACATATGCGAGTTGTAGTTACTGGGATGTATAGTTCACCTACAATCAAAGAGCATGCCGAACTCCACCAATGATGGAATTGAACCAAATATGGCACACAGAACTCCCACGACGAACAGAAAATATATATCAGTGATTGGTTGGGGGGGGGTGCTCTTGGGGGAAAATAGACCTTGACATATGCGAGTTGTAGTTACTGGGATGTATAGTTCAACTACAATCAAAGACCATTCTGGACTCCACCAAGGATGGAATTGAACCAAACGTGGCATACAGGCAGGGGCGGCTCACCCATTACGCAAAGTAAGCAGTCGCGGTAGAGTTGATTTCGCCAGGGGTGCTCTTGAGGTGCTCTTGGGGGAAAATAGACCTTGACATATGCGAGTTGTAGTTACTGGGATGTATAGTTCAGCTACAATCAAAGAGCATGCCGAACTCCACCAATGATGAAATTGAACCAAATATGGCACACAGAACTCCCACGACGAACAGAAAATATATATCAGTGATTGGTTGGGGGGGGGGTGCTCTTGGGGGAAAATAGACCTTGACATATGGGATGTATATGTCACCAACAGAAAATACTGGAAGGGTTTGGTGGGCATTGAGTTTGGGAGTTGTAGTTCACTTATATCCACAGAGCACTGTGGACTCAAACAATGATGGAGCTGGACCAAACTTGGCAGGAATACTCAATATGCCCAAATGTGAATACTGATGGAGTTTGGGGGAAAATACACCTTGGCATTTGGGAGTTGTAGTTACTGGGATGTATAGTTCACCTACAATCAAAGAGCATTCTGAACTCCACCAATGATGGAATTGAACCAAATATGGCACACAGAACTCCCACGACGAACAGAAAAAATATATCACTGATTAGTTGGGGTGGGGTGGGGTGGGGGGGTGCCAAAATACTGCTTGCTTACCGTTGAAAATTTCCTAGGGAACAAGAAACAACCAAGTTTCCGGAGGAGAGCCCCCCTTTGCAAAGTCAGGACCGCACAATCACTTTCCAACCAGGAATAGAGCATTTTCAATAAGGGCCAAAGGTTAGGGTTAGGGTCATATTTGGACCCTCTGACCACCACCATAGAGAGAGAGAGAGAGAGAGAGAGAGAGCCATTGGGGTGTCCTATCAACCTTTCTCCATGCTTCCCATGTTTGATAGTTTGGCCTCTGTTTGCAGGAAATCAATAATGTTTGTGTGCAGCCTTGTCTCTCAGTGCCGTGCCCACCAGCCTTCTTTTTGCCAGTCTGGAACTGGAGAGGAATATTAACCAAGCATTGTGTAGTCCAGCCAAGCCACCCAATGCACCACCCAATGCATGCGCTTGGTGCATATTTTGATGGGAGACTCCCTAGCTTTGCTTTGGGCCCCAAATCTGGATAGAACTGCATTTATATCTCAACCTTCCGCATGCCGCGACCCCTTAATCCAGTTCCTCGTGTTGTCGTGACCCCCAACCATAACACTATTTTTGTTGCTACTTCACAACTATCATTTTGCTATTGTTATGAATCGTAATATAAATCTCTGATATGCAGGATGTATTTTCACTCACCGGACCAAATTTGGCACAAATACCCGATAGACCCAAATCTCAATACTGGTGGGGTTGGGGGCGGGGGGTGATTGATTTTGTCATTTGGAAGTTGTAATTGCTGGGATTTATAGTTCACCTAAGAGCATCCTGAACTCCACCAATGACGGAATTGAACCAAACTTGGCACACAGAACTCCCGTGACCAACAGAAAATACTGGAAGGATTCGGTGGGCATTGACCTTGAGTTTTGGAGTTGTAGTTCACCTACATCCAGAGACAGAGGTGGCCCTAGGTAATTTTCAATGGTAAGCAAACAGTATTTTGTAGCGCCCCCCCCCCCAACCAATCATTGATATATATTTTCTGTTCGTCGTGTGA